CTGCGGGCTGGCAGCTGCAGCCTGAGTGTGGTCTGAAACGCAGCGTTTCACCCCAGAAAGTGATCCCTGCTCATGCAGGCATGGACAGGGCCACAAGCCCAAGGCCACCACTGGCCCATGGGGTTCCCAGGGGCACCACTCAGATTTGGGACCCATAGGTCTCTCGGCCACGCTCTGGGCAATGTTGAGTCCCCTTAACCCCAGCTCCCGCTCACCTCCCCAGGGGTCTGCAGCAGCTCCCACCCCCGAGGCGTGGGGGAACCTGGTCTGAGCACTGGCAGAAGGAGCGTGCACCTGAAATCATCTCCTGCTTAAGTTAAAGAGTTGTTTGTTGTTTTGGTTTTTTTTAAAAAGCTTTCAACATAAGAGCATCTGCATTAAAAGCCCCATGGGAGGCACAGCAAGCGCTGTGCTGTGCACCAGCGTCCCCAGCCCCATGCTGCCCTCGCCCTGCTGCATTCGGGCACTGCCCTGTGGCGCAGGATGCAGCCTTGGCTCCAGCTGGCCAAGGGAGTGGGCTACTGCAGCTCCGCAGCCGGGGTTGGCAGAGGGGGCTGGCTCCTAGCCCAGCCCTGTGGCCACCACTGCTTGGAAACTTGGTCCCTACCAGTTCTGCAAAAAAAGGCATTTTGAGCTTCACTTCTAAAGATCCCACAAAATTGCAAGGTCACCCCCACACACACACCTGCACTGTGGCCTCACACAGCCCTGGGCTCCCCTGACACCTGGGGGTTGCTCCTGGCTGCGCTCTCACTGCCCCAAGCCCCTCTCCTCCACAGCACTGAGCTGGGTCCTGACAGCACCGGGACACGAAGTGGCACCGGGGGCTGCGTGGGTGGCTGCCACCCCCCCCACCTTCTCCCTGCTGAGGGATGTGGGGGCAGAGCATCGCAGGGTGCTTGCTGGGTGCTGGGTGGGACCACGTCTTCTTGGCTGTGTGGGAGGCACCGGAGCATCCACTCCTTCCCGCTGCGAGCGCTGGGGCTACACTGGAGCCTCCAGCTCCTGTGGGCTGTGGGAACTGTCCGATCTCTTTTCTAGAAACAGGGTCTTTATTTCCTTCCTCAGAAAAATAGATTAATTTCATTTTTTTTTTTAAAGAGAGTTTAAAAAGAGGGAATGACGAACGTAGGGGCTGGAATGTGGCTGGCTGCGGGGTCTGTATATGAGATGCTGCGTTGTGGCTAGGGCCATCCCGCTCAGTAGCTCTCCTCCTCCTCGCGGTAGTAGTGGTAGCCTGGAGAGTCCCCGCTCTGGTCGGAGGCGGCGTTGGCCACCTCACCCTGGCCGCCCTGCGGGCAGTACTTGGGGTCGTAGATCTGGCGGCCGAGGCCGAACACCTGGCCGCTCTGGTTGGCACCCTGATTGGAGCCCATCTGCAGCGACATGGAGGAGTTGTCGCACTTCTCTGTCCCCGTCTTGGCATCGTAGATGTGTCTCCTGGTGCCCGGAGCTGTCATGCCCACCTGGAAGGACAGATTGGAGCAGGGCTCAGCTGCGGTCCCCCCCATCCCTTCCCAGCGCAGCGAGGGCTCACCTGGCTGGCACACTTGTTGGTACCCATCTGGAGGCTGATGGTGGAGTGGTCCACGGGGGGCAGGATCTGGTTCTTGGGGTCATAGAGGTGTCTCCGGGTGCCGTAGGCCGTCATGCCAGACTGGCTGGCACACTTGTTGGTGCCCATCTGATGAGGGGTGGAGCCAGTGAGGATGGGGTCCTGCTCCACACGTCCCCCCTCTTCCCCCACTGCGTCCCCTGCAGCCCAGGGGCACAGCCAGGGCTCCCTCATCAGCCCGGGCACAGCCATGGAGCCAAAATGGTCCCAGATCCTGGGGTATGTTGAGCCTCAGGACCTCCTCACTGTGCTTGGAGCCGTGACAGGGCTGAGGGTGGGCTAAAACTGTGCCCCACTCATGCAGCGCCCAGCCCCAGGGCAGCCCACCTGCAGCCCAATCACGCACTGCCCAGCCTTCATCTTGGCATCATCGAAGTTCCTCTGCTGCTTCTCCGAGTACTTCACACCAATGTCCACGCCGCTTTGCAGCCCCTTTGTCTTGGCCTGCAGAGGGGCGTGAGGGAGGGTGGGGGTCACAAACCTCCAATGTGGGACCAGCTGGGCCCCGTGGTGCTGCACCCCCTCCCACGCAGTCTCCCCCTGTCCTCCCCACCCCTGCCAGCGCCAGCAGCGACACCTGCACCTGCGTCAGGTTCCCGCTCTCGAAGAGGTCGTTGGCTTCGAAGAGGTCCACGGGGTTCATGCCGTAGGTGGCCATGGCCTTGATGAAGTTGGAGAGGTTCTCGAGCTGTGGAGGGAGAGGGGTAAGACCCCAGTGGGTGACAGCGGAGGAGCCAGGGGAAGCCGGGGATGCCCACACCCACCTGGTGCCAGTTCTGTGCCGAGCGGTGGATCTTCCTCACTGAGTTGGGCTGCAGCTTGTTCATCAGCCTGGAGGGAGGGAGCGGGATATTATATATATATAATATATAGGTATTAGCCGCCCTCCCCAGGTTCCTACTGGTCTCCAGGGCTCCCCCCAGACCCACGAGCACTTTGGGGGAGACTCCAGCCAAGCAGCACTGGAGATCCCACCAGCATGGCCATGGCCAGATCCAGCCCCCACTTCCCACCCCAAGGGCTGGTGGGGGTCTCCTGAAGGGGCTGGGGTTGTCCCCTATCCCCATTTGACTGGAGCAGGGACTGAGGGACTCGGCATAGATGGTAGGACTCACTCGCAGAGGATCACCCCATCCTTCAGCCCCTTCTGGAAGTCAGGCCCGATCTGTTGCCCTGTCACGCTCCCGATCCATGTCCGCAGCTCGGCCTCCTTCTGCGGGTCATACTTCTGGGCAAGCTGGGGGAAGACAGCAAGGGGGTAGCTCAGGCACAGCTCCCGTGTGCCCCCCAAACCCCTCCTGAGGGGCACAAACCTGCAGCAACGTCTGGGGACAGCAGCCCCACCCCCAGCACTGTCCCTGGAAAGTTTTGAGGATGCTGACACCCCATCCCCAGCCTCTGCAGGGCAGCAGAGTGACTCCCCCATCCTGGCTGCCTCCAGCACGATGCCACTGTCCTGCAGCGCATGGTGCCTCTCACACACGGTGACCCCGCGGCTCCCGAACCTTGCGAGGACAAGGAAAAACTACCCATGGAGGCCAGGGACAAATGCCCCCTGCCAGAGCCCATTCCTCCCTGTCCCCTGCATCCATGGGACCCCCAGCATCCAGCCCCAGGGGTCCCCGACTGCCCGATGCTCTCCCCTCCGATGGTCTCCCCACCGGCAGGGCCAATCACGCTGCCACAGATTCCTCAGTCACCACGGCTATGCCAGGAATGCGGCCGCCTCCTCCCAAATGGAGAGCAGCTGCCCCAGCCGCAGCATCTCCAGCGGCATTGCCTCGACCCTGGCCCACAGGGGAAGGAAAAGGCACTTCCGGGCCGGCGCAGGAGGTGGGGGCTACGCGGAAGAGTCTGGAAGCTCCCAGTGCCACCAGTGCCCCAGTCCAGCCCCTCCTGTGCTCAGCCGGCACCTGGGGATGGCCAAAGGCAGCCAGGACCTCTCGTCCATCCCATCCCCTCCTGGTTCTGGGCCTGGGCTGTGAGTCCCCAGGGACCCTGGCCACCATGCGCATCCACACCAGAGCATCCCTGTGCCACCAGCTGGTTTACGCAGTCCACACCAGTTTCCCTTCCCAGGCTAGGACAGTTTGGGGGGATCTCAGGGCACTGGAGGGGTCCCTACCCTGAGCAGATCCCTCCAGTGCCCTGAGATCCCCCCACAGCCCACTCTGCAAGGGCTTGCATGAACTGGGAGACTGCCACTGGTTTAACTGGTTCCCAGTTGGTGATCTCAGCCTCCAGTAGACGCACTGGGGCAGTCAAACTGGCTGCGCTCTTGCTGAATCAAGCTGAAGCGCCCAAGAGCAGGCAGCAACGAGGCCCCAGCGCGTGTCCACCTGGCTGGCGCGGTGCAGCCCAGTCCCGATGCAAGCAGGGACCTGTCTGCGCCTGGTGATGCAAACCCCGTGCGAGGCCATGCAAGGAGATCTCAGCCACGGCAGCAGCCATGGCCACCACATCCCTGTAGCCATGCACAGCTGAAACCTGGCAGCAGCACAGGCAGTGTCCAGTGCACCTTCTCCTGCCTGCCCCAGCCCCAGCCTGGCAGCTCCTGTGTCCCCAGGTAGAGGACGGCTATGCGGGGCCACTGGTGTGACCACAGTCCCACTGACCACAGCTCAACTCCTGCTCACGTGGAGCTGAACACAGCCCAGCACCATGGCCCGGCCCATGCCACTGCCTGGGGTGGCAGAGGTCCCTGGAGACACCACACCGGGATCCCGTGGGCAGGGACAGGGCACGCCGCGACCGGGAGCACAGCCTCGTCACCCATCGCCCCTCAGAGCCCCCCGCATACCGGGACCTCACAGCGCGTTCTTCCGGTATCCCCTGGCTCCACACCCTCCCGAGACC